CTCTACAGTTTGCTTTTCTTAAATTTGCATTGAGATGGATTTCATGCCACAGTCACTGTATTGTGCTCTTTTGGATATTGAAGCTGCCTTGTAGAAGTCTAGAAGCTGGGGCTTTGGGTCATTTTAAGTTTCTAAGTATATTGAAGAAGTATACTAATATTATGTTTTTGATTGACTTTGAAGGGTTGTATTGTAGCATGAGGACCACAAATAAAAGAAAGTTCTAAATCAAATATTAATTTTTAAAAAAAGAAAGAAAGAAAGAGCGAGGGAGGCCAAAGCGTTTACCAGACTAAACTGTATCCAAATCACATTTTATATCTAAATCACAGGGACAGCTGTTCAGATGCAATTCTGATCTTGTAGGTTTGTGGTGGGGCCCAAGATCCTGCATTTCTAACAACTTGGCCCATGGACTTTATCCTGAGTAGGAAGGCCGGAGGCTATTAGAAAAAATAGATTCCTGGGTACCAATCTAATAGGACTGGGTTAGCCCACAGTTGAACAAGTGCCCTGCGATGGTTCTGACCTCTAGCTGGATTTGAAAATTACTGGAATACACGATAATGTCTAAACTACATTGATCAAAATCTGAACTAATCCTTGTCTTTATGTGACCTTAGGAGATTTACTTCCCTCTGTAGTTCTCATTTCCCTTATCAAGAAAAGACTGAAGGAGCCGAGGATTCAGCTCAGTGGCGCCGCACGAGTTCGATTCCCTAGTACAGCCGAAAAGAAAAAAGAAAAGAACTTAGTTGATCCCCGTCCCTTCTAGAGATTGAACCCAGGGCCCTCACCCTGACTTAATCCCAGACCTTTCTATTTTAAATTTTGAGTAAGGGCGTCTCACTAAGTCACCAAGTCGCCTTTTTTAGCTCCTTCAAGCGCTCACATTTAATTAAGAAATTCCGGTGCCGCCGCGGAGGTCTCCGGCTGCTGCTACCGCGGCCTCTGGGGCTGGGGCTGGGGCTGGGGCTGGGGCTGGGGCCGCCGGCGAGGCAGGGCTCAGGCCCGGGCGGGCAGCTCTGCAGCGGCGGGGGAGAGGGGCCGGGAGCGGGGACCGAGCCGTCCGCTCTCCTCTCCCTGGGACCAGATGCGGTTAGAGCCGCGGAGCCTGGAGGAGCCTCGAGCATTACGGCTTTGGAACAGCCATAGATTTAATTACTTAGAGTAGTTTTATATGTAAAACTTGCAAAGGATCAGAGCAATGCCTCCACGACCATCATCAGGTGAACTGAGGGGCATCCACTTGATGCCCCCAAGAATCCTAGTAGAATGTTTACTACCAAATGGAATGATCGTGACTTTAGAATGCCTCTGTGAGGCTACATTAATAACCACAAAGCATGAACTATTTAAGGAAGCAAGAAAATACCCTCTCCATCAACTTCTTCAAGATGAATCTTCTTACATTTTCCTGTTACTCAAGAAGCAGAAAGGGAAGAATTTTTTGCTGAAACAAAACGACTTTGTGACCTTTGGCTTTTTCAACCCTTTTTAAAAGTAATTGAACCAGTAGGCAACTATGAAGAAAAGATCCTCAATCGAGAAATTGGCATGCCAGTGTGTGAATTTGATATGGTTAAAGACCCAGAAGTACAGGACTTCCAAAGAAATATTCTGAATGTTTGTTAAGAAGCTGTGGATCTTAGGAATCTCAATTCACCTCATAGTAGAGCAATGTATGTCTATCCTCCAAAGGCAGACTCTTCACTAGAACTGCCAAAGCACATATACAATAAATTGGATAAAGGACAAATAATTGTGGTGATTTGGGTAATAGTTTTTCCAAATAATGACAAGCAGAAGTATACTTTGAAAATCAACCACGACTGTGTGCCAGAACAAGTAATTGCTGAAGCAATCAGGAAAAAAAACTCAAAGTGTGTTGCTATCCTCTGAACAACTAAAACTCTGTGTTTTAGAATATCAGGGCAAGTATATTTTGAAAGTATGTAGATGTGATGAATACTTCCAAGAAAAATATCCCCTGAGTCCGTATAAGTATATAAGAAGCGGTATAATGCGTGGGAGGATGCCCAATTTGATGCTGATGGCTAAAGAAAGCCTTTACTCTCAACTGCCAATGGACTTTTTTACAATGCTATCCTATTCCAGACGCATCTCTACAGCTACACCATATATGAATGGAGAAACATCTACAAAATCCCTTTGGGTTATAAATAGTGCACTCAGAATAAAAATTCTTTGAGCAATTTATGTAAATATAAATATTCAAGACATTGATAAGATCTATGTTCAAACGAGTATCTACCACAGAGGAGAACCCTTATGTGAATGTGAACACTCAAAGAGTACCTTGTTCCAATCCTAGGTGGAATGAATGGCTGAATTATGATATGTACATTCCTGATCTTCCTCGTGCTGCTCAATTTTGTCTTTCCATTTGCTCTGTTAAAGGCCGAAAGGGTGCTAAAGAGGAGCACTGTCCATTGGCCTGGGGAAGTACAACTTGTTTGATTACACAGACACTCTAGTATCTGGAAAAATGGCTTTGAATCTTTAGCCAGTATCTCATGGCTTGGAAGTTTTGCTGAACCCTGTTGGTGTTACCAGGTCAAATCCAAACAAAGAAACTCCACGCCTAGAGTTGGAATTTGATTGGTTCAGCAGTGTGGTAAAGTTTCCAGATATGTCAGTGATTGAAAAGCATGCAAATTAGTCTGTATCCTGAGAAGCAGGGTTTAGTTATTCACATGCAGGACTGAGTAACAGACTAGCTAGAGACAATGAATTAAGAGAAAATGACAAAGAACAGCTCTGAGCAATTTGTACACGAGACCCTCTGAAATCACTGAGCAAGAGAAAGATTTTCTGTGGGGCCACAGACACTATTATGTAACTATCCCTGAAATTCTACCTAAATTGCTTCTGTCCGTTAAATGGAATTCTAGAGATGAAGTAGCTCAGATGCACTGCTTGGTAAAAGATTGGCCCCCAATCAAACCTTAGCAGGCAATGGAGCTTCTGGACTGTAATTACCCAGATCCTATGGTTCAAGGTTTTTCCTGTTTGATGCTTGAAAAAATATTTGACAGATGACAAGCTTTCTCAGTATCTAATTCAGCTACTACAGGTCCTAAAATGTGAACAGTATTTGGAAAACCTGCTTGTGAGAGTTTTACTCAAGAAAGCACTAACAAAGCAAAGGATTGGACACTTTTTCGTTTGGCATTTAAAATCTGAGATGCATAATAAAACAGTCAAAGATTTGGTCTGCTTTTAGAGTCCTATTGTCGGGCCTGTGGGACGTATCTGAAGCACCTGAATAAGCAAGTTGAAGCTATGGAAAAGCTCATTAACTTAACTGACATTCTCAAGGAGGAGAAGGATGAGACACAAAAGGTACAGATGAAGTTTTTAGTTGAGCAAATGAGGCAACCAGATCTCATGGATGCTCTACAGGGCTTTCTGTCTCCTCTAAACCCTGCTTATCAACTAGGAAATCTCAGGCTTGAAGAGTGTCAAATTATGTCTTCTGCAAAAAGGCCACTGTGGTTGAATTGGGAGAACCCAAACATCATGTCAGAGTTACTGTTTCAGAACAATGAGATCATCTTTAAAAATGGGGATGATTTATGCCAAGATATGCTAATGCTTCAAATTATTGGCATTATGGAAAATATCTGGCAAAATCAAGGTCTTGATCTTCGAATGCTGCCTTACAGTTGTCTCTCAATCGATGACTGCATGGGACTTACTGAAGTAGTGAGAAATTCTCACACTATCATTCAGATTCAGTCCAAAGAGGGCCTGAAAGGTGCACTGCAGTTGAATAGCCACACACTGCATCAGTGACTCAAAGACAAGAACGAAGGAGAAATATATGATGCAGCCATTGACCTCTTTACATGTTCATGTGCTGGATATTGTGTGGCTACCTTCATTTTGGGAATTGGAGACCGTCACAATAGTGACATCATGGTGAAAGATGATGGAGAACTATTTTGTATAGATTTTGGACACTGTTTGGATCACAAGAAGAAAAAATGTGGTTATAAATGAGAATGTGTGCCATTTGTTTTGACACAAGATTTCTTAATAGTGATAAGTAAAGGGGCCTGAGAATGTACAAAGACCGGAGAATTTGAAAGGTTTCAGGAGATGTGTTAGAAGGCATATCTAGCTTTTCGGCAGCATGCCAATCTCTTCATAAATCTTTTCTCAATGATGCTTGGCTCTGGAATGCCCGAACTACAATCTTTCGATGGCATTGCATATATTCAAAAGACCCTAGCCGTGGATAAAACTGAGCAAGAGGCTTTGGAATATTTCATGAAACAAATGAATGATGGACGTCATGGAGGCTGGACAACAAAAATGGATTGGATCTTCCACACAATTAAGCAGCATGCATTGAACTGAAATGATAAGTGAGAAACTGAAAGCTCAATATCTGGATTCTTCACTGCACTGTTAACAACTGACAGCAGGCATCGACTTATTGCATAGGAATTGCACAACCCACCAGCAACATTAGAACTTACAGCAAGAAACAGAAATAAAATACTATATAATTTAAATAATGTAAACGCAAACAGGGTTTGATAGCACTAAACTAGTTCATTTCAAAGTTAAGCTTTAGAATAATGCACAATTTCATGTTATGCCTTAAGTCCAAAAAAAGGTAAACTTTGAAGATTGTTTCAATCTTTTTTTAAAAAAACAAAACAAAAATCCCAAAACATATAGAAATGGTGGAGAAGAAAAAAGAATGATGGTCTATGTGTCCTGCAAATGTTCTATGTTTTGAAATGTGGATACAACAAAGGCTGTTACTGCATTAGGTCTAAGTAAACTGGAGTTTATGTTAAATTACATAAGATTGGAAAAGAATGAAAATTTTTTTATTTTCAAAAAGAAATGCCTTCCTATGCCATCCAGGATAGTTCACGGCCAAAGACAGCCTTCCTCTGAGGACTGCAATCCCCACAGTTCACTCTGCCCTCCCGTAGGGTCACGTGCCAGGGTCAATTGTGTTTCCCACAATCCTTTGTGATACCTCAAGATGGCGGCGCCCAGTGGCATCGTGAGCGATTCCGAGAGCAGCAGCAGTAGCGATGCGGAGGAGCTGGCGCGGTGCAAGGAGGCAGCTATGCCGGCCTGGGACTTGGAGCAACCCCCACGGGGAGAGGAAAAACCAAGAGCCGGTAGGGGGCTGTATTCTGGGAGGCTGCCCGAAAGGCATAGGTTCTTCCCTGAGGATTAAGAGGATGGACGGGGAGGAGGGCGTTACCGGACTTGACTTCCTTCCTCAAGAGAGCTCCAGGAGCTACCTGGGAATCATACTCAAAGCGAGGGCAGATGCAGCAGAGAGGGTGGTTACGCCCATTGAAGGAAACTAAGGCACCTGGATGTCTCTTTATTCCACTTTCTTGGGTTCATCCATACTGCTGCGTGCTGGGAAGGCCACCACTCCTCTGAAATAACTGAGATAGTCCCCCTCCTATATTGTCTCATCTACGCTTTCCCCGCCTGCAACACATTCCCCTTCCCTGAGGTCACCGAGGAGGTTTGTGCGATAAGTCTCTGACCTTGATTCCCTAGTGCCCTGGGGATAAATCCGAAGCCCTCAACAATAGGGATGTCTAATCATGAGTGGTATCCAGCGGTTCCTTGAATTTGGAATGGAAAAAATACCGTCTTTACTTTCATTAACCCCTAACTGAAATTTAGCATCTCTCCATCGTGCACGTGAGCAACAAGCCACAGCCGTTTTGACAATGCCTATTACTTCGTTCCAACAGAAGTTACCAGATTTTTGTATTTCATTACAATCTTGCAGATATACCAAAATATTTTATTCACAGTAAAATATTAGGAAGTCATTTATACTTATCTCTTCGTTAAAATTAGTCATCTTCTACTTGTTCCTAGATCCTGTTTAGTAAAGATCTTCACTAAAGAAGCACAGATATTAAGATCATAAGTTTACTATTATATAACTAAATTTCAGTATTATTGGGATTTTTATAATCTTATATGTTGCATTTTGTGTGTATTTAAAACATTATTTTGAGGGCCGGGGATTTAGCTCAGTGGTTCCGTCACCTACCTCGAAAGCGCAAGGACCGCAGTTCAATCCCCGGTACCAAAAAAAAACATTATTTTGAGAAGGGATCCAGGCTTCCTTAACTGCTGAAGGAGGCCATGACAAAACAAGGTTAAGAACCTCTACATTTGTTTAAAGACTTACAAGCCCTTTTGCGGCCCACTTCCTGTCTGCCTTTCCTTTCTTGCACTGCTGCCACACTTCACTTCTGGAAGGTAGGCTCCAGATCACCAGACCTGCAGTTTTCTCTGCAGGTTCTATGTACAGATCTGGCTCTCTCTCCATCTCCACCACTCACTAGCAGTAAGAACTTGGGCAACGTATTTACAACTCATTGTACCTAAATTTCCTTGTCTGTACAGTGAGGATAATGGTAGTACCTACCCCATAACGTTGCCAAGTAACTGAGCTGATCCATCTTTAGTGCTTGGCACATATTAAAACCCAGTAAATGGCAGCAAATATGTGGTAGGTCTCTGCATGGACCGCTTTTCCCCTCCTTCTTAACTCTTGCTCTTTGACATGGTACCATTTGCTGAGACAGCACCTCTTTGGAAAGCTCCTCAATCTTCCCAGTCTGGGTTACTTGCCTTCCCTGCATACCCACATCACACTTTGTGTGACTCCCTTCATAGAGAGCACTTTTCTTTCTTCCTACAGTATGCTTCTTTCCTTGTCTTTATCATTTTCTTTTTTTCTTTCTTTCATTCCAGCGTCCCTAGCCCCACAATACTTGCCCCACAAATAGTTATATAGAGGTTGTGTGATGTAAACTTCACGATGGCTGATATCCAGCCTGTTCCTTCACCATGGGGTTTTTTCAGGACCTAGCACAGTCCTCAGGAAAATCATTCTTAAATGAATGAACTTGCCCAAAAGGCACCTCATACATGAGTGAAGGATCTGAGATTCCAGCAGAGTCCCAATCCAGTTCTTTCTGCTTCGACACAGTGGATTTCTGTGTGACAGTGTTAAGAGGATTCAATATGAAATGTTGTTCTTAGATAAGTAACATAACTTCTGGAAACGTCAACTTCCTTAACTGTAAAATGCCTGACTTCTCTGACCTAAACAAGCTTTAACCAGCATATGAAGAGATAAACATCTTAGAAGTGGCATCCACTTCTTTAGAACTCATTGTTTTTGTAATATCCATCATAAATCTTCTGCTGATCAGAGTAAGTGTAGCTTCTGATAATAAGTACTGTTATTTAATGAGTACCACTGTGTGCCTGGCAAGATACTGGATGTTTGGACATTCTTGGATGATTCTAATAATAACACCACCATGATTTGAGAACTCTGTGCCCTTATTCTACACACTTTGTATTTGTTGTCTGTTTTAATCTTTCCAGCAATACCACAAAGAAGATATTATTGCCCCCATTTCATAGATGAAAACAACTGATGCTAATAAAGGTGAAATAACTTGGCCAGGGTCTTCCAAGTTCTAAATGGAGGAACCGGGAGTAAATTCAGGTTATCTGACTCCAAGTCATGCTCTTAATTGCTTTATGTCACTCCCTGCCTGCCACAGACAAGTGTGTATTATGGACAAAATACCTACCTGTTGGTCTATGCCCATGTGGAAATGTAGGTCACAATTTTACTGATGTAACCTCTATATACAGCTCTTAATTGCAGTGATGAACTGGTCACCTGGACCCTCAAACCACTTAAGTCTTTGGGCAACATATACTTAGATGCATTTGTGCAATATTTATTTCAAACCAAGACACTGTGCCAGGGGATATACTAAGACTGCCACTTGGCTTTCCAGTCCAAGCAGGAGATGGACATGCAAACAAAGTGTCCATAACACTTAACTGCGGAAGGTTGGTGATTTTTGTTTTTAACATACTACTAGGGATTAAACCTAGAACCTTTACACTGAGCTACATCTCCAGCCCTTTTATTTATTATTTTAGGACAAGATATCACCAGGTTGCCTAGGCTGGCTTTAAATGTAAGGTCCTCCTGCCTCAGCCTACGAAGTGCTAGGATTATACGTATGTGCCATTACACTAGGCTAGGTTGGTGATTTTATCCCCATTTTATACCTGAGATAAACAAAGGCTCTGTAAGTTAAAGTGAATTACCAAGGTCACACAATTTTGTGGCAGTAGAGCCAGGACTCAACTGAGCTGTCTCCCTCTGGAGTTAAACACTATGCCTGACCCAGGGCAGGACCTTGCTATTGCTCTGTAGTCCTCACAGGAGGCGCTGTTCTCCCTTCTGTCTTTGTGTTCCAGAGGAAAGATCAGGTCTTCAAAGACTGCATTCCGGGCCCCCACACACAGCTCTGGAAGCACAGAGGACTTTCACAGAGTTTTGTCATGTCCCAGAGCATATCGGCATGGACCACAGGGTCCTAGGACACAGGCACAGTGTGAATGCACCACGGTGTGGGCACAGCGGGCCCTCTGGAGTTGCTGCACCCATCAAACCCTTGTACTGGGCCCAGAGCTACCAAGTGTCCCCTTGACATAAGCCCATCTTATCCTGGATAATGACCTGAGTAAGGTCAGAAGCCTCAGAGCCGTCTCTCATTCAACTCACACCCTATGTCAGGTCCGTCAGCATAGCCTGAGGAGTCTGTCTTCAAGCTTCGTATGTCCAGAGTCATCAGCTGTTGCATCAGACTCCCTGTGCTGCCCTTCCCTGATTCTGGGCTCATTCCACACAGCGGCCCGAGATGTTCTATAAAAACTTAAATCCATTTATGTCCCTCCTCTGCCCAGAATCCTCCAATGGCTCTTCCTCAAAGCCCAGATCCTCACATTGGCTTATATGGATGCGCTTGGTGATTTGTCCCCCACAAGTTCTCTGTCTTCTGTCCCACCAGCTGCCGGGGTGGGCTCCGGTCACACCTGCCTTCTTGCTGGTTCTCAAACACCAGACAGGTTCCTACCTCGGGGCCTTTTCAGATGTTTTTCCCTCTGCCTAGAAGCTGTATCCCAGACTTCCAGTTAGCCTCGTCCCTCACCTCTCACCTAACCTGCCAGGCCCTCCCCGCCCACCTTTGTATGATGCTCCCCCGCCCACCTCTGCCTCCCTCTCTCCTCAGCTTTGTTTTTGTTACTTGCCATGCTCTCACTATTGTCCAATTTTATATTTTGTTCATGTGTGTTTGTCATCCATCCCCACCAACTAGAACACAAGCTCTGTGAGGACAGGAAGAGGCGTCTGAGTTCAACAACTAGGAAATGTGACTCTTGCTCAACGTTCAGTATTTGATTCCGTAAATGACAGCCAAGTCAGGCAATCCCAATGTTGTGGCTTTAAAAATGTCCTCAGCACAAACAGCCACCTGCCCTCTTCTGCCACAGCACTCGGCACACCCTTGGACTCACCAGTTCAGTGTGACGGTTAACGGGGGCTCGGAGCCAGCTATCCTGGGGCCTTGTCCCAGCCCTGTTGAATTAGCTGTTAGACACTGGCCAAGGTATTTTACATCTCTTTGACTTTCTTCTCTTCTGCAAAATGTTGATAATGGTCAGCTCTCTAATGGGATTCTGGAGGAAGATTCCCTGAATTACACATAAACTACTTAAAATAGTGCCTGGCACACAGTAGGTTTTGCCACTGTTACTGTTGTCATTCCCTCTACAAATGCTTCAATTTTCATCTCCCCCAGGTGCTGCAAATAACCGGTTGTCAGCCTCCCAGCCGAGCCTCAGGTACTGTGCGGTTTGGATAGCAGTTTCATTTACTCCTTGTATTAGCTTTCTGGTTGCTGGGACAAAATACCTGGTACTGCATCTTAAAGGAAGAGAGGTTTATTTTGGCTCCTATTTCACATGGTTGTTTGGCTCAGGGCAGAACAACATGTCACAGGGTCATGCCAGAGGAAAGCTGCTCAATTCATGGCAGCCAGGAAGCAGAGAAGGGCAAAGCTGGGGACAAGAATACACCCTTCCAGGTTGGCCCCCAGTGACCACCCCTTCTGACCAGATCCCACCTCCTAACAGCACATTTGGCTATGAACTCATCAGTGGGTGAATGCTAATGAGTGTAGCACCCCATGCTCCAAACACATGGGGGCCATCTTAGATCATCAGCAAATAGCAACGCTAGGTTAGACCCCAGGATGTGAGGAAATAAGACAAACATAGTCCCTCCCTCATGGGGCAGCTTCTGAACTGCCTGGAAGTAAGATCCTTTGTGTGCATTGTAGGCATCAGGTGGATGAGCATGAGCAAGATGGCAATGAGCTACAAACCACGCCCGAGTTCCGAGCCCACATAGCCAAGAAGCTGGGTGCGTTGCTGGACAGGTAAGACAGTGTACCTTCTCTTGTCTGTCCTCACTGACACCGACAGCAGTGGCATATGCTGGGCGGGAGCTCGTAGTATCTAAGCAGCATGTAGCTTCCATCACCTCAGTGCATTCATAATCAACACATCATGGAGGTCCTGCCATTGTCCTTGCTCTGGGTGAGGAAAAAGGTGCCCAGCCAGGAGGCATGTTTGCCTGAAGTCACGGAGTAAGGAGCAGAGCCTCAAGCCCAAGGAGGCTGGCTCTTTCACCACCGCTGCGTGCTGCTAACCTGAGAATACGAGAGGAGCACTGAGAAGCAGGAGCTCATTCCTACGGCAAGGGAAGACAGAAATCCTGTGTCCTGGGTGCTTTCTGTATGCCGGGCCCTCTGTCCGTGTTGTGTCTGAAGATCCAATTGGCCCTCGGAGAGCCAGCGCTAAGAGTGCTGCTGTTAATGGTCTGTTCAGGCTATGTACCGGCCAGCTTGCGAGCACCAGAATGCCCTTCTCACATGAGAATTCCAGTAGACTCAGTGCCTAGTGAGTCTGCTCTTCCTACTCCATAGATGCCACCTTTCCCCTGTGTCCTCACGGGGAGAAACAGGCAGAGGCTGCCCTTGAGCTTTGTTTAGAAAGGCACAAATCCCATTCCTGAGGCCTTCACCCACATGACCTAATCACCTCCGAAGGCTCCACCTCCAGATACCATCACCTTGGGAGTTAGGGTTTCAACACAGGAATTTCAGGGGGATGCAATCAGTCAGACCTTAGCACTAACCCCAAATGTGGCTCTAGAAACCAAGGGGGTCCAACAGCAGTGAAGTTTGAGAAACACTTCAGTCGGCTGCCCTTAGACATTGAGGTATATTCAAGACCCTGAAAGTTCTGTGAGGAGAACTGTGTAACTTTGTTTGGCCCAGCATGTACCAAACCCATTTGGCCACAGTGCCTTTGTTTAACAGACCAGTTGACATACTCAGGACACACTTCGCTAGGTCCGTTCCTGATTGAAGAGCCCTAGCAGGTTTTGAAAGGGAGATGAGGATTTGATGCCCTGGTCATTCGATTTGAATGCAGCATTTCCATGTTTTTCTCTGAAGGGACTTGTTGGTCCCTTACATTAGATCAGGTGTCTCAACCTGGGCACTGGTGACATTTCTTACAGAGAGTTCTTTGTTGTGAGGGCTGCTCCTCACATCAGGGGATGATTAGCAGCATCCCTGGCCTCTCTGTACTACTAGCACCCATTTCACCAGTGGTGACAGCCAGAACCCTCTCCAGACATTGCCAGGTGTCCCTGAGGGTCAACATCACACCACTGTGTCAGGCCAGGGACTGATATCTAATGGCACCATCTCCACTGCTCCCCGGGTTCTTTTCCTGCACAGGGCTTTGGGGCTGGCTGAGGCCTGAGTGGAGGGAAGTCAGGAAAAGCATGCAGTGCCTGCTGGGTTTGCAGCATTCTGCAGAAACGAACTTCCTGGTCTCTCCACACCCAGAGAGATGTGGCTTATCTCTATGAGAGAGATTCTACCCTGTGGCTTATCTTGATGACTTTCCTTGTCAGCACAGCTACCAATTACTAAGCACCTGCTTGTGGCAAGCTCTGCCTTAGGTGCTTGAGATCCATTTTCCCATTTAATCCTGTAACATCCCCAAGAGCTAGGGACTGTTCTCACTCCCAGTGTACAGATGGGTAATAGAGACCCAGAGAAGTAATGTCATTTGCCAGAGGGGACACAGCTAGTAAGTGACCAAGCCAGAATTCAAAGGGCAGGACCCAGTTTCAATGAGGTCAGTGGGTTGTATCAATCTCAGTTTCCTTGTTAAGATATTGTACTATGGGGCTGGGGATTTAGCTCAGCGGTTCCGCTGCTGCCTGCCTCGCAAACGCAAGGTCCCGAGTTTGATCCCCAGTAACAAAAAAAAAAAAAAAAAAAAAGATATTGTACTATGGTTTTTTGTGGTATTTGGGATCTCTGCATTATTTCTCACAACTAAATGTCAACCTACAATTTTCTCAAATTCTTTAAACATAAAAGAAAACAGGCCTGCCCTGTTCTAGAAGGTTGAACCATTGAACCACTTCTCTAGACTGGTCAGATTTCCCCTTTCATGCTTGCTAATAGGAAGCCCACAGCAAAATGTAGGTTTCCCTAACAAGTATATAGGAAAGACTTTCTGATTATACTTCCAGCTCTCTCTGTCCCTCTGCCATTATCTTTTGTTGCACTGCATGATGAAAACTTGTTCAGCACTTTCTGGAATAAAGTGAGGTTTAAACAGATGATGCTCTGCAGTTTGAGTCACCAGGGCCTGGTCAGCATCTTGTGGCTTCAGACATTCATGTTCCACCTGGCCCAGTATGGTCTCCACTTTTGTATATAAGATCATATGCCCCATCCCCTCCACTTGAAAAATAATAATAAATTTGAGAATAAAAATTATTTTTACCCAGAATCTCACATCCTATGTACCGCCTCCTCTCTCCTTAGCACCATCGTCATCTCAGAAGTAGTGAAGGAGCCGAGAAAAGCTAAGATACAGGAAGTGGCCTCGAGGGACAATGGTGAGTAGTTACACTGTTAATAACCATGAAACACCTACTGTCTATCCCAGTGATGCAGTTTGGGTACCCAACCTTCCATTCACACAGCCCACACTGGGAGGCAGGAAGGATGATGACACCCCCGTGACAGACAAGGGAGTGGGGCTCGGGCACAGAGTCACCTGCCTGTGGAACTTCATCTGTCCTGGGCAGGAGGCTCAGCTGCTGGCTTCCAGAAGCTCTGAGGGCTTGCGGCCCCAGTGTGGCAGCTGATGCCCTCTCAGGCACCCCACCTCCAGCTCCATCAGGCCTCAAGCAGGCCTGTCCTCAGGTGGGCCTCTGTTTGCCATCACACAATAGGGCTGCCTGGGCCTGTTCCAGTGGGCCAGGAGCTCCTGAGGAGGGAGGTGGCAGCCTCGCACCTGGGAAAGGGGGGCTGGCATCCAGTAGTGCTGACTGTGCCCCCGTGAATCCTAGGCTTCCGCCTCTTCTTCACGTCCATCCCCAGAGGCCCTGAGGAGGAAGCTGCTCCCCGGCCCTGCAGAAAGCGATGGCCCTCCAGCTCCAGGTAAGAGCTCACACCCTCTCCCACAGCTCTCCCCTTCATTCCCCTCTGTCTCGGCCAGTCCCCCAAAATAGCCAGGCAGACTCAGACTCCAGTCAGGTCCAGACCAAAGGAAAGGTCAGGTCACCGGGGAAGTAGTATGCCCAGCCGAGGGTCGTTAGGGAGTGGCTTTGGATCTTTACAGCTTTCTAAGCACCCATCTTGGGCCAGACTCCTTCCGTTATTGTGTTTGCTTTCAGGGACATCCCTGTGAGGCCTGTAAAGCTCCTTATGTTATAGATGAAGATACAGAGGGTCAGAGCGGGGAAGTCACTTAATGAGCTCACATAGCTGGCAGCAGAGGAACTTGTGTTGGAACCCAGGTCTGCCTCACTCCCAAGCCTGGGCTCCCTCCATGCCTTGGACCGAGGGAGGGCAGCGAGAGGCATATTCTAGGGCCCCAATCATCCTCCCCTTGCAGCAGCGAGGAGAGCGCTGAGGAGTGGCAGCGGTGCCAGGAGGCGGCTGTGTCAGCCAGTGCCATTCTCGAGGAATCAGCTATCCACGGCCCTGACCACAGGGAGAAGGAGGTCAAGAAGAAGAAAAAGAAAGCCAGGAAGGCAGTCAGCATCGACCCGGCTGAAGCCACCACCCCAGCCAGTGGAGCAGCGGCCCAGAAACAAGAGAAGGAGTTGAGTGTGATCAGCAGGGACCAGGTGTCACCTGGGACCAAAAAAAAGAAAAGGAAGAAAAAGGCGAAGGAGGCCAACAAGGCTTCCTAGTGCCCATTAGCAAAACGTGCAGCCACTGTGCTTGCAAACTGACCCTGGTCTGTGGGTGCCGCACCCCCTGGCTCCAAGAACGAGGCTCCCAAGGGGGACAAGCCAGTTCCACACTCACCTCTCCAAGTTCAAGCCCTTGGCTGGCAAGTCGAGACTCGGCCCTTCTGTGTTCCTATTGAGGGTGCAACAGACCTGTAGTTCCAGAACATTCTGTGGCCTCAGTAAGGTGGAATCCTCCAGCCATTTAAGACTAATGGCCAAGTAGTGATGCCCCTACCTCTCCAAGACAGTCTGTGGTGGGCAAGTAAAGGGAGACTTTCACCGAATGTGGTAGCACATGCCTCTAATCCCACCACTCAGTAGGCTGAGGCAGGAAAATCTCCATGAGTTCAAGGCCAGCCTGGAGCTACACAGTGAATTCAAGGCCAGCCTGAACTATATATATAGCAAGACATATGGGAAGGGGGAAGACCTTTCTCCCTTTGCAGCTTAATGTGAGAGGCAAATCTGCAGAAAATGAGGGAAAGATGGCTAGGATGTAGCTTAGTGGTGCCGCACCTGCCTGTCAAGCACGAGGTCCTGAGTTTGAGCCCCGGTACTGAAAAAAAAGAAAATGAGGGAAAAGGTCCCCAAGATGCCAAGGCCCAGACAAACATTTATACTTCTCCCTCCAACTTACATAGAATTAACAGGATATTTTCAGGAAAAGAAGGAGAGAGGTTTTTTCCCTTCTGTTTTCCAGAATTCCTTTTCTGCACGTTGTGATTTTACAGGCACAATGTCTCTGAGCCAACTGGCCCATCAGAAATGAGTTGTCAAGGGGCCCAGAACTCGGTGCTGCCTCCTGTCAATGCTGAACCTTACAGGGACCTTTTGAGTAAACATCGTGTGTAGGACCCACCCGCCAGCGGTCCAAGATCCATTCCGTCACCCCTGCCCAAGGTTCAGGAAGTGGGGCAGCACTTGTGGACTAAGTTCCGTCCAGAGGGCTCTTCTGCAGCAGATGCCCAAGGTTAAGGTGGAATTCAGGCCTCCTCACCTTGCCTCAGTCTCGGGCAGAAAAACAGGTGGAGCCAGGCGTGGTGGTGAAGGCCTGTGACCCCAGCACTCTGGGAGGCTGGGGCAGGAGGATCACAAGTTCAAGCCCAGCCTGGGCACCTTAGTGACTTGGTGAGACCCCATCTCAAAATAAATTTTTAAAAAGGACTGGAGATGTAGTTCAGGGCAGAGGCCCTGCCACTACAATCCCTAGTACTACAAAAAGGAAAAAAAAACATGGTGTGGGAGTGTGCCCTGAAGCCATCCCTGCTCAGGCCCCTGGCCCGCCTCAGTGTCCCTCTGCCTGCCCGTCCTACCCCCAGCTGGGTGACTCATGGACAGACAGGAAGTTTCTGTACGTTTCTCATTGACTTTACTAAAAGTTAAATAAATGTCCAGCCTCACTCGTAACTGGCTACAAGCTGCCGAGGGTACAGCTCTCCCTGCACCCCTTCCTCAGTCCCAGCTGCAGGCAGCCCACGGAGGGTCAGATTCTCTGCAGTGGGCCCAAGGAGATGAGGCCACATGTGCCCTGGGTTCTCATGGCTGCCTTGTCCCTTCGGACCTCAGACTCCTCAGGGTGGCTGCCAGTTGCCTGGGGCTCCCAAGCATTGTCCCGGCCACACAGGTAGCTTCTGTCTGCTGATTTGCCACCCTCTGCCTCCAGACATAGCTCTGCCCATTGCTTGGGCTCTTGCTTCCCACTGAGCTCAGCAGCATCCCTCCCAAACAAGGGAAGGTTTCATAGGTCCCCGAGTCTCCAGAAGCTGCTGCAGTGAGACCTGGACTTGGCACAAATAGGGCACCCACGAGAGCAAGGACAACTTCTTAGCCCTGAAGTGGTCTTACAAGCAGAGGCAAGATACCAGGCTGGCATCAGAAGGCATGATGATGGGGGAACAAAATGTTCAGCGGGCTGGGGAGGGATGGCTCAGGATGAGGGAGGCTGGGTACCCCACTTGTCTGCCCAGTTAGCTTGAGCCCTCCCAGGTGTGGGCATCGGAGCCCCAGGCCCTGGCACAGAGCAGTCACTGGGGAAGTGAACAGCAGGAGGTGGTGCAGAAGGACACACAGGCATGGGATCACCAGCTGGAAGGAGCTGGGGCAGGGTGGAGTGGCCCGGTGGGTCCATCAGTGACAGCATGACCACGTTGATCCAGGGCCTCTTGGAGCTCAGTGAGTCACAGCTACCCAGGCTTGGGTCCTGAGAGCTATGACCACCAGGGGTTCACTTGGCCCGAGGGCTCCCCACAGGCCCAGGCTGGTGGTGCCAGGGTCAAAAGCTGTCCCCTCTGGTTCCAAGTAACAAGTTTTTTGTCCTAAGCAACCGGAAGAGTCCCTGCAGAGTCCCTGCAGCTCTGCTGCCCAGCTTGCCATCGTCCCTTCCTGTGCAACTCACAGCCCTCCTCAGGTTGAGACACCTCATCTGTCCCCTTTTGATGCTGGCAGAGCAAGGTGGGGACCAAGACACAGATTTCCAGGGAGGGCAGTGGAGGCCCATGTAGCCCCAGGCATCCATGGCAGCTGCTGTCCTCACTCCCCAAGCAGGCAGTGCAAGGTCCAGCACCCGGGAGGCAGTTGCCATAGTTACTGGGAGGAGGAAGCCATCTGTGTGGAGATGAAGGTCTCGATGACACTGTGGCTGGATGGCAGCAGGTGGCTGTGGCCGTTGGTGGAGTCGGAGCTCTGGTACAACACCAGGCTGCTGGAGGACACTGCAGAGACAAACCAGGCTGCTGGCTGCCGTCCAAGCCCCCCAACCCCTCCCCAGCTGCCTGTCCCTAGGGGTGCTTGGGACAGGAGAAACGAGGCCTCCCCAAAGCCAAGCCTCTACCTTCAGTTCCTAACAAGGGAAGTCTCCAGCCAGGGTCTGGGGCCACCCCAGACCCTGGAGAAGTCCTAGCCAGATGGTGTGGTGTGGTGTGGTGTGATGTGTGTTAGCTCAGCCAGGCTGAATCACACACTCATCGAGGTGTTGTTGGGAATGTACTTTGTAGACCTGGTTAACACTTGACAATCAGCTGACTTAAGAGAAGCGAGCCTCAATAACGTGGGTGGGCGTCCTCTAATCAGTCAAAGGCCTTAAGGGCAGAAACTGAAGTTTCCCAGAGGCTGCAGAATTCTGTCTCAAGATTGCAGAATTATCTCCTGCCTGAGTGTCCACCTGCTGCCACTGGCCCTGCAGATGACAGACACCAGCCCCCACCATGTGAGCCAGTTCCTTAGGGGAAATCTCCCTGCCGTATCCTACTGGTCCTGCATCTTGGGAGAAGCCTAACTGATGGACATGGTTAAGAGAACCAGCGGGCTTTGGGGTTGGACCTGGGTTCAAGTCCTGGCTCTGCCACCCAGTAGCTGTGGGAGATGAGACACGTCCGTCACCTCCTTGAGTGTCCACTTTCTCATCTGTAAAATGGGGACAATAATGCAGAGGCCTCATGGGGTAAAGCACAGAGTTGGCTCATGGAGTCCCCTCAGTAACTGACACTACAACCATCAGGGTGGGAAGGGGGAAACTGAGGCTTCTCGAGGGCAGCTTGCCCAAAGGCAGAGTTAGCCTGACCCCAGCGTGCCCACTCTTGACCATGACATTGTATGCAAAGTAAGAGCCTCCAGGGTTGCTGGGGACAGAAGTGGGCAGAGTGGGATGGTGGGCCCATTTTCCCCCACAGAGGTTGGCTTTCTTTTTTTTTATTTCACTTTTTTTGGTTTTTTGAGGCAGGGTCTCACTCTGTAATTCAGGCTGGCCTTGGACTCAACATGTCACCCAGGCTGGCCTCAAATTCGAGGCACTCCTCCTGCCTCAGCCTCCCGTGCACCACCACTCCCAACCCTTAGAAGTTGGATTTCTGTATGAAAGATTTCTGTGTTCTAGTTTTTAAATGTTGTTTTCTGATTTAAAGACTATAAACCTTGAGCCGAGCCAAACCAAACACATTGTGAGTCACATCTGGCCCACCGCAAGCCCAGTTTACTGCTCGTTGTTCCCCTCTGCTGCCTCTTCCAGTTACCTAGTCCCTTTCTCGGTCAAGCCCTGAGCTCTTCCTGTAAGTCCAGCCCTGTATTCCTGCAGCTTCGCACGCTGCTTACTGTGTTGGGCTGTGTTTAGGAGACAGGGATCCCCCCACACCACCTCCCCTCCATCCACTGCACACACTGCCTACCCAGACGGGGGGTCATCCACAGAGGGTGCTCACCTGTGGGGCTAGTGCTGAGCCGGTGGGCAGGCTGCAGATGCTGGATGCCACCAGGGTCCTGGCTGGGGATGTGGATCGTGGTGGCTGGGGACACTGGTGCATGAAGCCCCGACTCACTGGAGGCCTCCGTGTCTGAGGTGAAGACCTAGGGGACCAGAGCAGCCCCCTGAGCCCCTGGGCATGAAGTTGGAGGCTCAGATAGGACCAGGGAGGCTGGACAGGCCCAGGCCTTACCTGCTTGGTGGGTGTGAGGCTGGCGAGGGCGCTCAGGTTGGTGGTGTCGGTGATGAGCATGGTCTGCTGAAGCAGCCCGGTGTGCGCGTACTGGGCCACCTCAGGCTTGTGGCTATAGAGGGCTGCTGGAGAGAGGGAGAGGGGAGGATGCAGACATGGTGCCCTGGGCCAACCTAGATGCCACCCCCACCAGAGGCCAAGACTGGTGCTCTGGGGGAAGTGGGCACAGGACCCATTGAAGGGCCCAGTGGAGCAGTAGTTGGGGACCCATGGCTGATTTCCAAAGCTGGGTCCTCCAGAGACAGGGAATAGATCCCCTTTCAGTACAGTGCCTGCTCATCTGGGATTGATGGCGGACAGCCTAGGGAAGCTCAGGAACCAACTGCAATTCCTCTTGTCACCTGGTGACAGCCAGTGTGACAGGGAAGCAGAGGCACAGGTGCAGTGCTGCTGTACTAAGAACAAGCTCAAGTGCTATTGGACTAGGCGCAGGGGCTGCTATACTAAGTGTGGGTGCCTGGGAAGGAAGGGCAGGTGGCCTGTGAGCCTTAACAAGGAGAGAGACGCCTCTCCAATATGTAATCCAGTGTTTCACCTGCAGCTCCCCATCCCAAGAAGCAGACACTCCACTCCCACTGTATTCTCACAGTGACTCAGATACACACCTAACACTCTAGGAGGCTGAAGCAGGAAGATCACAATTGGATGCTGGGGATTTAGCTCAGTGGTGCCACCACCTGCCTCGCAAGCACAAGGTCCCGAGTTCAGTCCCCGGTACAAAAAAATAAAGATCACAATTGGAGCCCAGCCTGGGCAACTTAGTAACTTAGACTGTCTTAAAAAAAAAAAAAGCTGGGGATGTACTTCAGTGAGAAAGCCCTGGGTTCAAGCCCCAGTAGCACACACACAAGCACAACACCCACATGCACACACGAATACATGCACTTTCAACCGTGCACACACACAGACATACACAGGTCCACAACCCTTTTCCCCAATCCTAAATTCCAAAAATATCTGAAGTCAAAAGATTTCTGTAAGGTTGACTTCAGAACTTGTTTGATGGCAAAACCCCACCTGAGCCGAGCATGGGGTCAAATGAGTCTTTAGCCTGCTTCATGGAGCTCACCGCCTACTGCAGCCACAGTAGCGTTTGGAGGCCAGGGTGGCACCCAGGCCCTGTATGGGCCATATGTGATGCACAGCATATCCACCAAGCTAAGGCTTCCAGAGAAAGGGCTGAGACCTGTGCCCCTACCCATGGACGTGCACACACAACTGGGAATACAACCAGTGAACCACTGGAAGCACACATTGAAATGGGCTAACAGGCATGTGTGTGCACACAGAACTAAGCAGCAGTACGTGTCATGGAGCTGTATTGTGGCCCAGACACCCTCTGGCACAGATGTACTGGCACTTGTACCAGACACACGCACAACGCCTGCTAAGCCACCTCCTTCCCCCACACCATCCACAGCCAGCCCCCCACCCAGGGCAGGGGGCACTCACCGTGGGGGCTCTGCAGCTGAGCCATGGTCGCCATGAAGGGGTTCTGGGCTACGTGGCTCTGCACGGGTGGCATGAGAGGCTGCTGGTAAGAAGGGTGCAGCGGCTGGGAGAACTGGACCGGCTGCAGGGTAGTCAGGCTGCTGCCCATGCTGTTGATGACAGGCACACTCTGGGCCTGAGTGGAGGCCAGGCCTGGGGCAGGAGGAGCAGGTGTAAGCCAAGCCTCCCCCACCCCCGTGGGACCATCCTGCCTTCCTGGAGCCCAGGGTGTGCACTGGGACCTGCCACCAACCTAAGTGACCCCGGCAAGTCACTCCCTTTCTGTGAGCCTTTAGTTCCTTATGTGCCCCAGTGGGAGAGGCAGGCAGTGACTAGATCAAAGGTTGTCCAACTGGGTTCCCTGGAGGCTTGGGGTTCCCGAGCAGTGCAAAGGTCCTAGAGTTAGCTCTCCACCCTCTTCTTTTCTCTTTAATATTGAGCAATATCAAATAGTCCCTGCAAATTAAACCTTTCTGGGCTTAAGAAAAAAGCTACAAAACATCTGTCCCCCTTACCCTATTCGATTCTTTCCACAGACTCCTTTTTTTTTTTTTGGTACCGGGGATCGAACTTGGGTCCTTGCGCTTGCGAAGTAGGCAGCAGAACCACTGAGCTAAATCCCCGGCCCCTTCTTCTTTTGAGACAGAATCTCTCTATTAGTTCAGACTGGCCTTGAACTCACTATGTAGCCCACGATGGTCCCAAACATGCAGTGATCCTGTCTCAGCCTCCTGAGTGCTGGGATGACTGGCGTGCACCACGATGCCCAGCATCCCCACAGACTTCTGATGTTCTAAAGTGTTGCAGAATTTCTGCATTATGCGTATCGCCTGCCTCCCCACTTGGCTCTCTGAGATGTTGGCCTGTTTGGTTCCCTCACATATCACTGACGTAGGGTACCGCCTAGCCCAGTGGCAGGGCATTTTGCATGCATGTTGCATGAATGAATCCCGGGAGTTCTTCCCAGCTCCTCAATTCTGTAGGAACCCCATTACCCACCCCCAGGTCCCCCACCTGCCCCCCACCAGCTTACCAATAACCAGGGTGGAGGCACCTGTGTTGCTGAACGTGGGGCCCAGAGAGGCAGGCTCACCAGGCCCAATAGTCATGACACCGGGCAGTGAGGCCATGATGAGGTTCTGGGGCTGCTGGTTGAGGCCTGGGGATGTCTGTTCCAAGCTATGCAGAGCTGTCAGGGTGCTGACGGGGGGCAGGGGCCCCCCAGTTGCTGAGACCTGCAAGGGGAAGCCAAACTGAATCGAGGTGGATCCCCCCTCACACCGCTTTCCTGGGAACCACTCCAGTGTTTACCATCCAAAGGAAAATGGAGTTGGCAGGGTTTTCACTACAGATGGGGGACACTTACCAGCTTGGCTTCAGTGCTCAGCAGGCTGTGGCTGGGCTCCAGGCCTGTGGGGGACACTTGGTGTAGGGGTGTAGACACTGTCACTAAGGGGCCACCACTGCTCGAGGGCACCTCTGCCGCCTCACTGGCCGCAGGCTGTCCATAGCGCACGCCTGGAGTGGGGAACAGGGTCCAGCATCAGCACCCATTTCCTGAGCACACCTGCCCCAGGCCTCAGCACTCCAGTCTGTGCCGGTTTGCTCAGGCCAGTTGCCCCATCTTTCTTTACGCAGCCCCGAAACGGCCTGAGCGTCATCTCAGGCCCCGCCCTGCACTGGCTGCTTCTCGCTCCCTGAATACAAGCACCACACTGCATCAGCTCTGCATCCACTCTTCCCAGCATGACCTGACATGCAGTAGGTGCTCAATAAAAGATAATGGAATGAAACTGAATTGAGGCTCACGGAATGACACTGAAGTGAACTGAGCTGAATAGAAGGAACTGGAATTGGTTGAATTAAACCAGATTTAAGTGAACTGAACCTGAAATCAGTTGAGCTAGATTGAGTTGGAGCAGAGCTGGATTGAATGAAATAGAATTGGAGTACATTGAATTGCATTTTACAGTCAGCCCTGCATCTATGGGCTCTACATCCTTGGATTCAATCAACTGCAGATTGAAATATTTGGAAAAAAAACAAGTGTACTACACAAGTTCAGTTTTTTTCTTGTTATTCCCTAAACAACACAATGTAATTACGTAGCAATTACATTGTAAAATATAATAATGTACAGATTATTTAAAGTATATGGGAGGATGGGTGTAGATTCGACACATATATTGCCCCCCAAATATATAATAAGGAACGTGAGTATCTTTGGATTTGGGTATCAGCAGGGAAGCCTGGAACAAATCCCCTACAAATACCAAAGAATAACTATACAAAATTAACTGAATTTCACTGAATGATGTTTAAATTAAATGGACTGAATAGGAATTGTTTGGATTAAACTGTGCTAAATTTAAATGAACTAAATTGGATTATAATTCATTGAACACAAAGGAATTGAGTTGAGTTTTAACAACTGAATTGAACTGAGCTGAGCTACAGTGGTTTAAACTGATAGATTTGAAATGAATGTTAAAGTGAGATGGCCCAGGTCAACCGGGGCTGAACCGAATAGGATGGAGTGAAGCAGGGTGCACAAGCCTCGGAATGAGCAAATGAGTAGGAGGGGCTGGTGTGGAGTGAGCTGGATGGAGTGGATGGGGTGGAGCAGCTGGAGTAGGAGCAACAAAACTGTGGGATGCTGTGGAGTGGAGGGAATGGAACAGATCGGGTAGAGGGTTACACAGTGGGTGGAGAGCGATGGAGTGGCATGGACAGAATCAATGGAGGGTGTGGATGGACCATTGTGGGATGATGTGGAATGCAGGGAACGGAGTGCAGTAGATACGCTAGAGGGCTGTGGACGACTGGATGGAGGACAGTGGTTGGAGCAAAGAAGCATAGAGTGAATGCAGTGGAGTGGACGGTGTCAAAGAAGTTGCATGGTGAATGGAGCAGATGGTACCAAACTGAAGTGCTGAGAGGTCTGGGTGGCCAGGGCCACTGGGCCATCCCCCCAGCTCTACCTTCCTGGTTTGTCCCTTCTACTTGCTGTCCCATCTCCCACCACCACCACCGCCAGCACTCACCGTGGACCTTACTGGGGGAAAGAGCAGATGGTGGCAGGCCAGGGGAGCTGTGGGCCGGCAGTGCGGGCCCTGGGCCTGGCCCCGGTGGGGGCCCGCTGTATGTGTCCATGGCTAGCTTGTGCCGAAAAGCTTCTTCCTTGCGCCGGTTGGCAAACCAGTTGTAGACACGAACCTCGGTGACGAGGTTGGAGCCCAGCCCCTGTGCCTGTGATGGTGACACCCCTCTCTGGATGCACTCTGCCCTGCAGAGGTGACCACCCATGAGCCTCCAGGCCAGGCTCAGAAGAGCCCTCGCCTGGGGGTGGGGGAGGGTTCTGAGAAGTTGAGCTCTACCTGTTTGGGGCTGGCAGATCTGGGTTTCAGCACCACTTCTGCTGTGTGACCATGGGCAAGTGACTTAGCTTCTCTGACCTTAGTCATAATGTGAGCAAGATAGCCATGGGGTTGTGGAGGGGATGAAATGAGATGACTGGCCCCCAAAAGGGTCTCTTGGGTGGGTGGGGGATCCCAGGGATGGAGTTAAGTTCAAGACACTGAGCAGACATTGAGTCTGCTCAACTTTCTGGCCGAGACTAAACTGACTGACAGCAGGAGCTGTCCAGGACTGGGGAGCCTCCCCAGGGGCCCAAGACACCCCCACCACCCGCCAGCCATCTACCGATTGCACTCCTCCACTAAGGTCTCTCGCTCCTCCTTGCTGGGGTTCTTCTGCCTCTCGTAGGCCTGGAACAGGATCTGCTGGGAGGCTGGGCCCCACTTGAAACGGTTTCTCCGCCCCTTCTTGGTAGGCAGCTCATCACCAGTGGGCTCTTCGATCAGCCCACCCTGCCCTGCATGGGTGAACTCTGTAGGCACAGAGAGCCATAAGTGGGCCACCGACCAATCCATCTTCCCATGCTAGGTCACACGACCAGCCCCAATTCTCTCCATTCCCAGGGTGCTGAACCAGTTTTACAACTAGAACTCCAAAATCATCTAATCTGGGAGTGACAAACATACAGCACACATACCACCATTTCCTTAACCTGTGCCCGTGGCAGACATGACTAATCAACTCTTGCATGCTTCTCCACTGAGCTAAGATATAATCTCCCCAGCCTTCTTAACACAAGGCTCCAGTAAGTATTAACATTTACTCAGATTTGGTATATTTACTCTCCCTGTAAAGAAGATGAGGCTTAGGGAGGTTGCATATTTTTCCAGGATGGCACAGTAGAACAGAAACATGGAGCTTTATGTCCTGGGTAGATTCAGAGCTCTCATCAGTTCTCCAGACTTGGAAATCAGGCTTGAAATGCAAATGTTGGCCAGGAAGAAAGAGAGCCGGCCAGCCCTTGTCAGCTGGCTCCACTTTATTGGCAATTAGTCCATCAGCCCATCCCTGAGCAGGCCATGAAGAGAATGCGAAAGTCAAGTGCCCAGGGATTTTTGTGAGCACAGAGAAGAGCCCTCACCATCTGAGTGCTAGGCTCCAGTGCTCCAGGGAAGGGCAGGGAGCTGCCAAAGCCAAGCCTTGCCTGCTGCTAGAAGCCCACCTGGCCCAGATTTCAGAGTCGTCTGCAGCTGTGCTTGCACACTCATTCACACCTGCTCCCATGGACTCAGATATCCACTTCGGGCAGGGGGACCTGGGGATTGAACCCAGGGCCTTCACACTGAGCCACATCCCCTGCCCTTTTATTTATTTTTTAATTATGAGACAAGGTCTCGCTAAGTCTCCCAGGCTGTGCTCGAACTTGCAATCCTCCTGCCTCAGTCTCCCACAGTGCTAGGATTGCAGGTGTGCAACACCACACCTGGCTTTCATTTTGCCTTCTAGCTGTACCAAAGGATGGCTCCAGGCTGGCAGGGGCCAGGACCAGAACCTAGGATACAAGACACTGTGACTTGACCCCCAAAACCTAAAAGATTGCAGCCTAAAAGTTACCCCAACCAGGCCATCAAAAGTCAGGAAAACATAAAAAACTGTCGTAACCAAGGACCCTTAGGAGGCACAACTAAATATAATCCACCCACATTGTGTGGTGGTGAGGAACCTGAATGAAGGATAGACTTTACTTAACAATAACGTATCAGCACTGGTTTATTAAATGTACCAAGCTAATGTTAATAATAGGGAAAACTGGCTGAGAGGTATATGAAAATTCTCAGTACAAACTTCCTAGTATTTCTGTATATTTACATGTGTTTTAAAATTAAAAGTTTGAGTTTTTTTAATCCCAGCACTCAGGAGCCTGAGGCAGGAGGATCACTGTGAATTCAAGGCCAGCCTGGGCTCCATAGTTGAGTTCAAGGCCAGCCTGAACTACACAGTGAGACCCTGTCTCAAAAAAAAAAAAAAAATTTGAGTTTTTAAATTACCAAACAGGCAAAGCAGATAACCTTATGCAATTGTGGAGGGTGGGGAGAAATTCAGAGAACATCTGGCAGGAAGACCACCTATAATAATATAATAATAACAGCTAATGCTTTTGCTTTGTATACGCCAATAAATTTCATTTTCAGGACACTCCTCTATGGTAGAGGCTACTTTATCCCTACTGTGTAGATGTGGGAAACAGTCACAAGAAGGCTGGAAACTTACTGAAGTTAATGCAGTTGATAAGTAGCAGAGCCAGGATTTGAACCTGAGCTTACATTTAGATACCCACCACATTGCCTCTCATAATTAGGACATGTCCCAGCTACTCTGGAGGCTGAGGCAGGAGGGTCACAAGGTTGAGGCTAGCCTAAGCAACTTAGCAAGACTCTATTTCAAAAATAAAGAGGGCTGAAAAAATAAAATTAAAAGAGCTGTATGTCTATAATCCTAGGACTCTAGGAGGCTGAGGCAGGAGGATCACAAGTTCAAGGCCAGCCTGGGCAATTTACCAATACCCTGTATAAAAATTGTTTTTTAAAAGGTCAGAGGAGGTAGCTCAGTGGTAGACCACTTACCTAGCATGCATAAGACCTTGAGTTCAATCCCCACTACCACAGAAAATGATGATGATGATGATGATGATGATGATGATGTTGGCAGACATGTTAATCACATTTGCTGCTGCTTTGATAAAGCCCCATCCAGTCAAACATCTTATTCATTCATTCATTCACCTGCCTTTGATTGCATAGTGTCATTTCCTTCTGCCAGAAACAACACCCTATTCTCCTCAGGAATATCCCTTCCTCCTTCTCAGCCACCTGGATGAGGTGGGGTACCTCATGCCAGCCAACAAAAATGCCACATGCCCCTGGCCACTGGGACTGGCTCCTCGATCTTATTTTCAATAAATAATGCTGAGTAGCCAATTACATAAGAGAAAAAAATGAATCCTGGGCACTGGTATCTCCATCAGTAAGCTGAGAGGAAAACTAAAGGCTGAAGCAACTTGTAAAGAAAAAGTGAATCCTGATTTTCTGTCTCAAATCCTACATTTAAAAAAAACACTTCAGCTAGATTGTGGCTCTAAATGTGAAAAGTAAAATAAAACTAAATATAAAATAAGTTCACAACCTTTGGGTGGACAAAGATTTCTTAAACTGAATATAAAAAGCACTAACCATAAAGTTAAAAATTAATATCTTCTGCTCATCAAAAGACATCAGATTTAGAGAGGATAAGGTAAACCACAGAATGGGAGAATATATTTGCAATGCATATATTTTTGAAGGGATTTATAATTGGGTTGTTTTTTAACTCCTACAAATACATCAGAAAAAAAAAAAAGCAGACAGCCTATGAGAAAAATGGGTAAACTCCTCAAATAGTTACTCCTTAAAGAAAGTCTCCAAATGTCCACTGACCATATGAAAAGACACCCACCATAAAGAGTTATCAAGGAAGGGGCCAGGGATTTAGCTCAGGGGTGCCACCACCTGCCTCGAAAGCGAAAGGTCCTGAGTTCAATCCCTGGTACTGCAAAAAAAAAAAAAAAAAAACCACACATCAAACTAGATGTGGTGGTCCTTGTAATCCCAGAACTTTCAGAGGCTGAAGCAAGAGGATCACAAGTTTGAGGCAAGCCTGGGCAACTTACTGACTTAGACTCTGCTGGGGATGTGACTCAGGGCAAAGGCCCTGGGTTCAATCGCCAGTACTGCAAAAAATAAAATAAAAGTAAACAAAGGAAATGAAAGTTAAAACTACTATGCAATAGGGCTGGGGATTTAGCTCAGTGGTGCCACCACCTGCCCCGCAAGCGCAAGGACCCGAGTTTGATCCCCAGTACCCCCCCCCAAAAAAAAAACTACTATGAAATACCAACACATAGCCATCCTGGCTAAAATGAAAATGACTGACATTACTAAGTGTTGGCAAAATTCCAGGAGCCCCTGGAAGGTTCCAATCCTGCTGATTGGAATTAATAACTATTTAACAGTGTCTACAAAGCCAAACTTATGTCTACTCTTTGACTTAGCAATTCTGCAACCAAAAGAAGTATATACACACCTTTAGCAAAAACCATGTACCGAAATGTTCATAGCAGCCCTGTTCACAATAGCAACAAATCAGAAGCAATCCACATGTCCATCGAAGAAGAAATAATAATATATTGTATCCACACAATGGAATATTCACACACAGGAATGAGAATGGCCAATCTATAATGACAAGGAGCCACATGAATGAATCCACAAACATATGGAGTGAAAGAAGCTGCTGTTTTATATAATTTAATTTGTATAAACTTCAAAAACAGCCATAATTATGATGACAGAAGTCAGGATTATTGATTGCTCCTACTGAGCAGGGATAGAGCTACTGGGGAGCTGGTAATGCCTTTTTTATTGCGTTGGTAGTTACATTTGGTGTGTTCACTTTGTGAAATTCACTGAGCTGTACGCTTAAAATTTGTACACTTTTTCTATGTTAGACTTCATTTAAAAGTTTACACTATTAAAAATAGAAAGAGTGGGCCAGGGATTTAGCTCAGTGGTTTCACTGCCTGCTGTGCTAGCGCAAGGACCCAAGTTTGATCCCTGGTACCGGAAGAAAAAAAAAAAAGGAAAGAAAGAAAGAAAGAGTCCATTGAACTGAAAGTATCTGAAAGGAGGAGTTTGGGGCCAGGGATTTAACTCAGTGGTTCTGCCACCTGCCTGGCAAGCACAAGGTCCTGAGCTCAATCCCCCGTACAAAAAAAAAAAAAAAAATAGCTGAAGAAAGGAGTTCTTTTCCCTCTGGGCTTGCTAAGCTGGCAGGATGGCAGCCCAGAGCTGGGGGACCCACCTGTCCGTATGAGGAGAGTCGGCCAGAGAGTAAGGGCAACATAAGAGGAATAAAGAACCAAGAGATGCTGTGCAGACATCATTTGAAACCCTGAATCTAGCTATGCTTGAATCAGCCCTAGACTCACATTCATGAGCCAATAGAGTCTTTGTTGTTGTTGTTGTTGTTGTTTAAATCTATTTGAATTGGGGTTCTGACCCTTGTTATTGAAAAAGTCCTAATCATTCAGGCATATTTTGAATATGCTGCATCTCAAATCCTCCCATTTCTCTTTTAAAGATAAAAATTCTCAGGGGATAGACATTTGGGCCATAGTTTGCTTCTTTCTTCTCAGCTCCAGGCTGAAATCTTTGATTACATTTCTAACTGTTAGAAAGGGAAAATGCACTTTCCGCAATATTATCAGTTTTCTTCCAGTGATAGTTTTGAGAGAAGACCATCAAATTCTCTCAGAAGCTAAACCCAGTCTAACAGATTTTCAAAATAAATATTTATTGTTTCTTCTCATACAAATGAAAACAGTACCAGAATGTACTGTTATGTATTATTTTTCCGAGTGTGTATTACTATCAGTAGAAAGTGAACCAGCCAAGTGGGTTGAACATACACTCCTGTAATCCCAGCACTCTCAGGAGGCTGAGGCAGGAGAATTATGAGTTTGAAGCCAGCCTGTGGTACAGAGTGAGTTCAAAGCCAGCCTGAACTACATACTGAGACCTTGTCTTAAAAAACAAACAAACAAAGCAACCCCTCCAATAACTGAGGTAAAGGGTAATAGGCATGGAGTAAGAATCAAGAAATGTCTATTATAATATATAACAAATATTACCAATAATTATTTATATATTAATTATATGTTCCGTATAAATTTTTTAACAGTGATCTATACTGTTCATGATTGTATAAATTTTTTTTTCAGTGCTCAGGACTGAACATAGGCCCTTATGGATGCTAGCTAAGTGCTCTACCACTAAGCCACACTCCCAGCCTCCTCCGTTTTTCCTTCTTTTGAAGCAGGGTCTCTACTAAACTGCCCAGGCTGGCCTTGAACTTGTAATCCTCCTGCCTCTGCCTCCCAAGTACCTGGGATCACAGGAATGCTCCACCATTCCTGTATCCATCAAGGATTGTAAAGTACCAACATTTCACTTCTGGGAATTTCTCCTACAGACAGGCTCACATGTGAGCATGAGCTCATATCTGTAACCGCGGACTGGAAAACCTGCAAAAGTTCTTTGGTAGGTGACCAGTTAAACAAATCATGTCACCTGCAAATGGCAGCCAGCAGCCCCTAAAACAAATAAAGTCAACCAATTTCTCAATACCGATGTGAAAAGATATATAAGATTTATTGCTAAGAAAAAAAAGCAAAGTCCCAAACATTGTGTGTACTATGCTCCTATGAGCTAAAAAAAACCTATCTATAGCTAGTGTGTACATAAACTCTCTCTGGAAGGAGATCAGAGAGCCCGGGAATGCCAGTGGTGCTTTAGGAGCAGGATACCTATTTGGTTTTGCTTTGTTTCTATTTGTTGCTTTTTGTTGTTGTTCTGTTATTGCTTTTCTGGGGGTTGGGGGTTTTGTTTTTTGGTACTAGTGATTGAACCCAGGGCCTTCACACTGAAATGCACCCCCAGCTCTTTTTATTTATTTGGAGACAGGATTTCACTAAGTTGCTAAGTTGCCCAGATTCGGCTCAAACAAGCCATCCTCCTGCCTCAGCTTCCCAGAGTGCTGGGATTGTAGGTGTGCACCACCCAGCCTGGCTCTTTTCCTTTTTAAAGCAAGTGTGTATTTGCTTTTTCCAAAAACTGGAAAATTAGCCAGTAGGTGGTGAGTGCTTAGAATCTCAGCTCCTGGGGAAAGGGGATGCACTGAGGTGGGAGGACCACAAGTTTGAGGCCAGCCTGAGCAAATTAGCAAGACCTCATCTCAAAATAAAAATTTTTTAAAAGAGATGGGAGTATAGCTCAGCTGTAGAGTATTTGTCAAGCACACATGAAGCCCTGCGTTCCACCCCCAGTTCTGGATTCAATCCCCAGAACCATTTTAAAAAATAGAAAAGCCAGGTGTGGTGGCACACGCCTGTAATCCTAGCACTCAGGACGCTGAGGCAGAAGGATCGCCATGAGTTCAACGCCAGCCTGGGCTACATAGTGAGTTGAAGGCCAGCCTGAACTACACAGCAAGATCTTGTCTCACACACACACACACACACACACACACACACACACACACACACACACAAAACCTGGAAAATTAAGAACTATCAAAAAGTTTTAGCTAGGCATGCTGGTACATTCTTGGAAGCTGAGGCACGAGGATTCAAGTTTGACTTAATGAGGCACTGTCTTAAAACAAACAAACCAGGGCCAGGGATTTAGCTCAGCAGCACCGAGCCTGCCTTGCAAGCACAAGGTCCTGAGTTCAATCCCCAGTACCAAAAAACAAACAAACCAAAAATCAGGGGAACGGGGCTGGCATGTAAGTTAGAGCAAAGACCCTGGGCTCAATCCCAACTACAGAAAAAAGAAAGTTTTCACACCTAGATAATTGCTCAAAAGTGTGAAAGTGCACTTGAAACTTGGGGAGTCAAAGGCCTGGATAACCAGGTGTGGTGGCACATGCCTGTAATCCCAGCACTTGGGAGACTGAGGCAGGAGGATCACTGCAAGTTCAAGGCCAGCCTGGGCTACATAGTGAGTTCAAGACCAGCCTGAACTACATAGCAAGACCCTGTCTCAAAAGACAAACAAACAAACAAAACAGAGGCCTGGATAAAGAAACTCACCACCACCTGAGTAATAGTGCCCTCAGCTCTTTCTGGGTTTGTGGCAGAGGTTCCCTGAGTGTACACCTTGCGTCGGAGCCTTTACTCACGCTGTTCCTCTTGCTTGGAACACCCTTTCCTGTGTCTCCGTGAGTCAAAATTTGACTCACAGTGTAAGACCTAATCTAAAGGTTGTGCTTCTAGTATGAATCTTCCTGAGCCCTCTGCATCCCTGGCGTAGGATAGATTACCCTTCCCACCACAGCCTGTTCACCACTTGGAAATATTTTAATACTCTGCACTGGGCTTGGCACAAAGTAAGTGCTCAATAAACACAAGCTCTACTGTTGATGTTGTGTGGGAGGCAGACATGAGGACATCCATCTTTAGACGCCAACTCTTCTGCCCTCCCCAGAGTGCCCTGTGTGGAACAGGTCGTCGACGATTGTGGAATCCCCCTGACTTCCCCTCCATCTCCTGTCTGTGTAAGGAGGAGGGGTGAAGTCCCAGCCCCACCTGAGTCAGGAGAGGCCCAACCCCGCAGGGAGGACCGGGCTGGGTCGTACTTACGCTGCGCCACCTCTCGCTGCTTGCGGACGTACCAGGTGTACAGCGCGGCGCGCTTCTGCGTCTTCATGGGCGTCCCCTTGTTGAGGTGCTGGGACAGGTGGGACTGGTTGAGGCCGGTGGTGTCGACCACCTCCCGCTGCGGAATGTTGTGCTGCTGCAGGTAGGACTTGACCATCTTTGCCACGCGCCATGGGTCTTCCCTGGAAAGGGGATAAGGACAGGGTCTGCTCGGCGGGTGCTCACGGATCCTGAGGCTGGCGTCCTCTCTGTGCGTGGGGATTGCGGGTGAAAGCAGTCACGCAGCCGAGGAGCCTCAGCTGGTTTCGGGAACAGCGAGGCCAGGGCCCAGCCCCGTGGACACACAGACACACGGGTATGGGGAGGCATGAAGAGACTTCTGCCGGAAGCCAGACAACCCTGGGAGGGAGAGTCCTCACCTGTGTTCCTCCATTAAAGTTCCTCCCCACATCCTACCTGGGGATGTTACATGTGTCTTCTCCACTGTGAGAAGTGGAGAACACCTCAGGGCAGCAGTGGTCTGGTCTTGGCACCCAAAATGGGCCTGACTGTGCCACTGATGCGTACATAAGGGAGGGGACAGATGGGGGAAGGGGAAAGTGGATGATGGGAAATTTATTGGAAAAACAAAAACAGAGAGCCAAGTCTGGTGATGCACACCTATAATCAAGGCAAGGCAAGAGCATCTCAAGTTCTAGTCCCACCTAGATAATTTAGCAAAACTTTGTCTCAGAATAAAAACTGAAAGGCTGAGGATGTAGCTCAGTGGCAGAGCACCACTGGGTTTGATCTCCAGTGCCACACATACACCCAAATGAAAAAAAACCAGAAAAATGTGGATTGTTCCAATTTATAGCCAGGGCCACTGAGGCTTAGAAAGTTTGTGTCACTTGTATCTCTTAACCAAGGTCACAAGGCCAGCCTCACAGACTCCTATATTATCAAAAGGGATTCAGTTCTAAGTCAGTTGATCAGGCAAAACTCACACAGGATCAAAACGCCTGATGGTGTGCACTGGGCCCTTGGCAGCAGCCTGGCTGGTTTCCCAAAGCTGAGGGCAGGCAGCTGATTTTCCTGTGGGGTTCAGGTGACGGTTATGGGCTGGCACTCAGAAGCCTCCTTGTGTCAAAACTGTATGTGTTCGAGCACCAAAAGCTCATTCTGTGCACTGAGATTCTTCCAGTGACACAAGGGACTGGAGGCATCTGTGATTCACGTCCCTGTCCTTTGCTGTGCATGGGTCTCCCAGTGGGGAGTGGAAAGGATCAGAGTACACACACCACATACTGTAAATTCTCTTCCTCTCCTACTATCTCAACCCTCCCACTAAAGACAGGCAGGTATCAAATGAAGCTCAACCCAACAGTGCTAAAACAGGAAGAACTGAGGGGTTTTGGGGAGGGTGTCCATATGTGTGTGTGTGTGTGTGTGTGTGTGTGTGTGTGTGTACACATCGCTGGAATTGAATCTGGTGCATTCTTACTGAGCCACATCCCCATCCCTTTTTATTTCTATTTTTATTTTGAGATAAGTTCTCAATACGTTGCTAAATTGCTCAGACGGGCCTCAAACTTGCAATCCCCTTGTCTCAGCCTCCCAGAGTAGTGGGATTACAGATGAGCACCACCAGTCCCAGCTCAGAACTGAGATTTGAACCCAGATCTTTGTGATTCCAAAGTCTATGTTCGCCTCTCCCTGCTTGACACAGAAATCTGCTTCTAGAATCAGAGCCTTCTGATATTTGCCTGTGTGACAAATGGCACATGCTGCTCATTGCTGGCCACACCTTGAGACTAGAAACAACCAAGAGACCCAGCAAAAGACACCTGCGCCTCCTTTCTGTCCCCCATGGCAGGAGCTCTGCATGTAGCCATGCAGATGGTTCATCTGGTATCTGGGAGTCAAAGAGGCTTTCCACGTACAAGTGGACCACTGAGCTATGACCGACCTCACATATGAACAATTTGGGTTACGACCGGAATTTTAGTTTTAACTTACACCCAAAGTCTTAAGTTAGGACCTGAATGCCAGCCACTTGTGCAGTTGTAATCAAGGACTCATGATGCCAGAAAATCATATGTAAGGATACATGAGCATCAGTCTGAGCCCAGATGCACATGTTTTGGGACATGATTTTGGTCAGTGTTTATATAATCGTTACAAATGCTATCAAAATGGCCCCCAAAAAGCTAGAAAAAAGCTAAGGAAGGAATAGAAGGTAAAGAAAACAATTACGATTGAAAAGAAGAAGAAAATTGTGGAGAAATATGAGTGGCATTCATGTGACTGATCTTGTTAATATGTACAGCATGTTGAAATCCACCATCTCAACAATCTTACAGAGAAAAGATTTGCATAAGGAAGCTATTGCTGCTAAAGGTGTTACTTAAATTAGTAAGTCATGATCAACAGTGTTAGATGCGGTAGAAAGGCTATTATTAGTGTGGATAAACAAAAGGCAGATGGCAGATCATAGCCTATCTGAACCTATAATTTGTGAAAAAGCCAGGGCTATAAAATGGAGACCTGATAAAGTGTTATCCATCAATAAGTGATAATGGTGAAATATTTCATGGCAGTAAGTGGTGGTTTCACAATTTTAAAGCATGCAGGGGATTTAGCTCAGTGATGCTGCCACCTGCCTCAAAAGCACAAGGTCCAGAATTTGATCCCCAGTACCAAAACAATAAATAAAGCAAGAACTTGGGTTCATAGAATAACTAGGCATGGTGAAACAGCCAGTGCTGATAAAAGGGCTGCTGAAAAATTACATACACCACTTTGAAATGATGACACAGAGAAATGGCTTATGCTCTCATCAGGTTTTCAACTGTGATAAAACTGGCCTTTTCTGGAAAATTCCCAAGGGGACATACATTACCCAAGAAGAGAAGAAAATACCAGGCCACCAGCCTATGAAGGATACGCTAACCTTATTGCTATGTACCAATGAAAGTGGTGACCTCAAGATAAAGCTTCTCTTGGTTTATCCCTCTGAGACCCCCTAGAGTGCTCAGAAAACATAAAGTCATGAAGAATAGGCTAGGGGTCATGTGGAGATCAAACACAAAAGCCTGGGTAACAACAGTACTTTTTCTTGAGTGGATCAGGGAAGCTTTCTGTCCTACCGTTAAGAAATATCTAGAGGACAAAGGTTTACCACTCAAGGCTCTCCTCATCATGGACAATGCTCCTGGTCACCCACGAGATTTGGAAGAAGAATTGGCTGAAGAATTCCCATGGTTCTCAGTTGAGATCCTCCCACCTAATACAACTCCTGTACTGCAGCCTATGGACCAGCAAGTTATAGCTAATTTTAAGAAGCTATACACAAAGGAACTGTTCCCAAAGTGCTTCCAGATGGTCTCAGTTACAGATTTAACACTTAAAGAGTTCTGGAAGGAACATTGCAACATTCTTTCCTGTGTGGGGTTAATTGAGAAATCCTGGGCCAATGTCTCTCTAAGGACACTGAGATCTGCCTAGAAGAAAGTGTGGCCTAAAATTATACGGGAGAGACTTTGAAGGCTGACTTTCAGAGGCCCCTGAGCCTTCAATTGCCCCCGTGGTTGATAACACTGTCACTATAGCAAAGTCCGTAGGCTTGCGTGGGGGGTGATGTTGAGAAACTGGTGGAGGAACACTCAGAGGAATTGTCTACAGAGGAACTTCAGCAACTTCTGCCTGAGCAACAGAGAATGGTAGCTGAGGAGCTTTCTGAAGAGGAGGGGAAGTATCAACAATCAGTGCAGCAAAATAAAGGAAATCCTGAAAAAATGCACAGAGCTACACACAGTTGTGGAGCAGACCCACCCAGATGGAGAAAAAGCCAATCCTTGCACTCACTTGCTTAATGACGAATCATGTCATACTACAGAACAGTGTTAGATAAAAGGCAGAAACAGACAACCTTAGACCAGTTTTTAGTTCTGAAAAGGTTGAGACCTAGTGAGCCAGAAGCAGGTCTAGTGGGATACAGACTCCCCCAAGGAGAGAAAGGACCCCAGAGAGCCGGATTCCTGATGTTCTTATGGAAGGGGATGCTCCTTCCAAACAATACCCACCTTCCATTTCCTCCTCCCTTCCTGCAAGCCGAAGATGTCAACTTGAATGGTGAGTACAGTATGAAATTGTTGTTTCTGGTAAACTAGGCACATTTTATAACTTTTTGGTGAATACACTAGGAAAATTTTTGGTGTTTCTGGTAAACTATGCACATTATACAACTCTTTTTTATTATGAAAAGGTTAGTTAAGGGGTCTTTGGGAGGTTCGAAACACATTATGGGTATTTTCATTATTTCCTATGGGAAAAACAGTCTTCACTTACAACCAACTTGAGTTACAACCAACCCTCGAGAACAAATTGAGTTCATAATCAAGGCTCCACTGTATTTGCCTGTGTACATACAAAACACCAGAGGACACACAAGGACTTGGAGACCCTGGTGCCACCAGAAGGGAAAGGGGTTCTGGGGACAGTTCTCTATGTAGCTCTCTGTCCTTTCTAAAGTATGTTTCTCTTATATGAGAAACCCAAAGCATACAAAATTTAAAGAGCAAAATAAAAGACAGATATAGGAAACAGGAAGATAGATCTTCTGCAAATGAGAAGAGGATCTAGAGACGGAGGGAGGGAGAAGCAGAAGAGGAAAAAGGGAGTAAAGAGAATTGAGATGAGTTTCCACCTCCCCATGATGAATGGAAACATTGTGTACTGCAAACGTGGACTAAATGTTTGTTTAATTTAAACACGTACTGACTTTAAAAAGAAGCAGAGAGTTGCAAGTTCAAGGAAGGCCAGCCTAGGCAACTTAGTGAGATCCTGTCTCAAAATAAAATTAAAAATTTTTTAAAGTTTGGGGTGTGGCTTCATGGTAGAGCATTTGCCTAGCAAGCACTAGGCCCTGGGTTTTATCCCCAATATCACATACATACATAGATAAATAATGCAATATATCACAATATTATGTAATATACTGTAATCTGTACAGTGATCCCTTGATATCCTGAGGAGAACAAAACCCACCAATGTTCAAGTGCCCCATATAAAAGGGTGTGGTATTTGCATATAACTTCCACATATCTTTCTGTGGTCTTGAAATCACTCTCGGTTACTTACAATACTTAATGCAATGTAAATGCTATAGAAATACATTGTTTAGAGAATGGTGACTTAAGTC